CAGACCTACAAATAAAAATATATCCAAACACAATAAAAAAGAAGTTTTCATCTCCCACATTCTTGGACCAAACTTAGCTTTTCCCAGTCAATCCAAGAGAAAACCTACTTACTCTTCTATGGACCTTAGCACCACATGTGCATCCTCAAACATTCCCCCTCTCTCTCACCAATTTCTCTATCCTCAAAAACAACTAAGTCATATTTTTGAACTCCTACTATCCTCTTACTGAGTTTTTTTCTAGGTTGGTCTGTGATGATGCATTAAACAATTTTGAGATAGAAAAAGATTATACATGGCAGAAAGGGTGAGACTGAGGTGGACAGAGAAGGGAGATTTGTGTCATTAACAACACCAACACATAAGCAAGGTAGAATAATATTGAATGGTTAAGATTTAACTGTATCCTTTGAAAAGAAAATTTTGAATAGCATAGTTTTGCAGCTTAAATTGAGAGTGAAAAGGAAGAGAAGGAAAAGAAGCAACGTCTTACAAAGCTCATATATTACAAAGGACAATTACAGTAGAGATTATATGGTCTTTATCGGGGTAGTTAGGGCAATATTTTTTTTTAATTATTTTTGCTAATTAAAATGTTGAGAGAATAAAGAGTACAAATAAATGTAATCAACCAGTGAGGCTTGACGCACGCTCCAAGGCCATACATGGTAACTCTCAACCTAGTCTAAAAAAATATAAAACATCTCACAAAGACTAAGTAAACAGATTACAAAGAAAATAAATAACTTTGAACTCATAATTCAAGGGGCTAGGCAAACAATATACCAATATACTTGTTGCAACCACTTTGACCGTCATCATTTATGTCGTCTAATAACAATCCTTCAAGAAGACCTTCGCCCTATTGATGATTTTCAAGATCTTATTCCATAATCTTGTAATATCTTGGTAATTGAAAGCCTTGTCGAGGTTAATTCCATGCATTATTCATCCATCATTTGCTTCGTAATGTAGCTATTTACAGCACAGTGCCCAAACAAGTCAGCCTGCCTAAAAGGCTGCTCCCCGCGACCTTTATGACACTCGCGCTATCCTATAATTGTGTCAACCACGACTATACTAGTGGCCCTAATCGCGAACCACGTTTCCCAATATTAATTGTGCAAATGTGATGTTTCTGCAAATACAACCTAGACGTGGTCCCTAGCCGAGCCGAAAGGGAGTTCTCACGGTTAATGATCACAATTGGTCACCGCAAAACCATGACCTCAAAATGGCCACATGCGCAATATCCCTAGCGCGCTCCTATTCAGGGTCCTCTCTTTCCTCTCTAAACCCCTTATCGAGATCTTTGTCAAGTTGTCCCGATAGAGAAAACACACATAGTTTAGGTCCTTTAGTCACCAATCCACATGTCTTATTATCCCGGTTATCTTAGGAGTCCTTTCAAATCCCAATCAAACACGTCCCAGATGGCAATGAATCATACATTGGAAGGTTTGCTTAAGAAGACTAAATCTTTGAGACCCTACCCCAAGCCGAGGTTGGCAATCATGTTCGTCCTTTTTCGTTGCTCAATTCTTCATCAAGGAGGGACATACTGCCCTCTTCCTAGGTGGGGACCCCTTATCCCAGTCCACTAAGCCAATTGAATAATGATGTTTAGTAAGTTAAGGATATCAATTCCGTCAGCTATGCAATCCCAGCCTTGTGCCTTGTTTTCTATAGTGGGGGGGACGAGTCATGTCAAGGTTGCCCCTAAACTTCTACAGTGCCACTTTTGTCTGTCCTTGGTCAAATGTCCATTTTTCCACTCTCAACGTGATGGGATATGTTCCGCTTTTGTATAGTACTTGATTCTTCCTATGGTACCAAACGCCTCTTATGGCATAGGGAGCCTATTGTAGAATTGGCGTGTTGTTGTGGCACTGGATGCCTGTCGCGACCCTGGTTGCTATCATGTCACTGTGTTGCCTGTTGCGGCCTTATGATCCACACCTATCCTGCTGGACGTTGTTAGACCCCACTGTTATGTCAACTAATAATTTTTGCCGCTTGTCCTTCCATAGTCGGGACAATACTTGACCTCTACATAAAAGGTTGTGTCTTGGTAGTGTCTCAAGATATTATTTAGACATTAGTACACAAATCCTTCATTCACATAAATCTAAATAATCCATGAATTTCTAAAAAAATTGTGATTGTTTTTACCAAACGACCAATGCTCGAGAATATATTTTGTGATTTGGTTGTTGTCAAATAGGATTATTCAAAGATTCTTTTAACAAGAAAGTTGTTATAGACACCTCTCTTAGTGTTTCGCTTTCACATCTTTTTGGCATGTCTTTCTTTCTTATAAATGCATTAGTTATTATTATAGTATATGGTTGCATATTACATTAATGTCCATAAATGGTTGTACATTACATTTGTATAATTGGTATACTATAATTTCTGGCAGGATTGGATCGAAGGGGTACATTGAAACTTTTAAATAGTGGATCCCTTCTCTGTGTCACATTTTGATCTTACTATTTTTAGGTGTAAACAACATTATAAACAAATTGGATATGTGCAGATATATCTCAATACTTCCATTTTAGAAGAATTTTAAAGGAGTTTATCATAAAGATTTCATCTCCCACAATCTTAGGCCAACCTAAGCTTTTCCCACTCAAACTAAGAGAAAACGGATTGAGATCTTCTTCATTATACTTTCACTTAATTTCACTCAATAGTAGATCATCCACCGTGTATGGGCGAAGAACCTACTAGTAAATGATGTGTCCCATGTGTTTTAATGATAAATGATCTACCATTGAATGAAATCTTTTAGAGAGGATCTAGATCTAGAAAAAACCTAGTTACATTTTTATGACCCTTAGCACTACATGTGCAACTTCAAACCATTCCCCCTCACTCCCACTAGTTTCTCTATCCTCAGACCAACCAAATCATATTTTTGAACTCCCACTATCCTTTTACTAAGTTTGTTTCTTGGTTGGTCCTATGATGATGCATTAACAGTTTCAACATATGAGATTGGAAAAGGTCATGCATGAGAGAGAGGATGAAAATGAGGTGGATAGAAAGAGAGGGAGAGAGATGGGGGATTTGTATTACAACCATGCTATGCTTCTCATGTCTTTTGCCCAATTTTTTCTTCTCAAATGAACTAGGATCATCAACAAATAAGCGGGACAGAAAAATATTGAATGGTTAAAATTTAACCGTGTTATTTGAAAAGTCAAATTTAAACAACATAATTTTACATTTTTATTGTTATATGGTCTTTACCGGGTCACCAAAGTTAGGGCAATACTTGACCCCCACTAAAAAGGTTGAGTATTGGCAATTTCTCAAGGTATTATTACTTACACATTGGTACGCAAGCCTTCATTCACATATATCTCAATAATCCATGAATTTCTCAAAAAATGCCCATTATTTTTATCAAATGACCAATGCCCAAGAATATACTTTGTGATTTGGTTTGTTGTCAAATATGATTAAATCAATCAAGTAGGCTACCTTAATTGGTCACTCTTGATTCTTCCTAGATTCTCTTAACAAGAAAGTCGTAAAAGACTTCTTATATCCCCCTCCAGGTTTTGTTGCCCCCCACTTAGAGTTTCTCTTCACCTCTTTTTGGCGTGTCTTTCTTTCCTATAAATGCATTAATTATTATTATAGTATTTGGTTGCATATTACAGTAATGTCCATGAATAGCTGTACAAAACATTTGTATAATTGATCTATTATAATTTATGGCGCAATTGGATAGAAGGGGTACATTGGAAATTTTAAATAGTTGGAGAATTTAATTCAGACAGGATAAAACTTTAGAGTTTAGTTGAAATCTGATGTGAAGTTTAGGGGCCAAAATTAATAATTTTTGTTTTCATTTTCAACAGGTCTACCGGACCACAGGTATTATTTTGCCTCTTGTACATGTATCTGACACCAGGTCTCTAGCAAACCCGATAATTTGTACCGTGTAGGATATAATTAACTCTAGTAGTCTTCTTCAATTACTAATAATAGGACATAGATAGATAGATAGATAATGTAATCTACCCAATATACTAGTAACTATATATTTTTGTATTGTTCATCCATTTACTAAAACTAAATATTTTATTTTTTTAGCCCTGGACCACAAGGGCGTTTGTAGTCCAACGGTTAGGATAATTGCCTTCCAAGCAATAGACCCGGGTTCGACTCCCGGCAAACGCAATTAAGTTTTTGAAATTTGGATCCCTTTTCTTTTCTTGCTCCGTTTGTGTCAATCAGCGGCTGGCCCAAGCAACGCCACTTGAATCTAATGCATAGTTCAAGTGGTACCGTTTTGAGTAGTAGGCATCATTAAGAGTTCCAAAGGATCAAACACATGCTCATTCGAGTGGTTTGGTTACTCATATTGTAAAGAAGGAATTGTAGTAAGTAATGCATGTTAATTCAATATAAACAAATAAAATATAAGATTAAATTAAATATGAAATAAAAATGCTATGTATTGTAATTGTAATTCAATATTTGGTAAGATATTGGATTAAGACTTTAAGAGTGGGATAATAGAGTATTAATTACATATCAATCAAAAAATCATAAATCTTGTTTACTTGTTAATTATTTTTGTTTATTTGGTGGGTAAAATAATAAATATATAATTTAATACGTTTGAACTGGATTACAATAACACATCTCCAGGTGATATTATAGTGTAATATTTGGATACGAATTTGAAATAAGATTATATAATATGGAGTGTTTTTACAACTAAATGTAGTATAAGGTTGAAATAGAGAGTTTTTAATCTATTATGATTCTGTAATCTACCATTTAATACTACAGTTAAACAACCGGTCCACCTCAACCTATGTAAAGAGACCAAGCTATAAACTCCTTGCTTTATGTGCAATTTGTCACTAGTCATCTATCTATATCTATACTATTTATAAATGTCAGTATCTGCGAAAAAATTTTGATTTCTTTTTTTATCCTTAATTATTATAATAAAGTTAATTACATCCACTTATATACTTTCATTTAATTTTTAACTTGTTCTGAACTCTTTTACGAGAACTTTTAAATTATTTTGAACTCATTTATAAATAGTTCAGTTACATATAATTTTTTATATCTATATAAAGAAACAAAGTTCTATATACGTTAAATTATTATACATATTATCAAATTGAATTTCACGATCAAATATATGTTATATAAATTTTTAGGTATATAGTAATATAATAATATTATAAGAGATACAATCAATCTATTTAACAAAATAAAAATTAATAATTATATAATATAATTAGTTGTTTAAATGCCTAAAAGGGTCACGAAAAATACCTAAATAAATGATATATTAGGTACTAAAAGACTTATAAAATAAATTAATAATTAAAATACAAATTAATTATTTGACATCTAATTTATTATTTAATTTAATTACACATATAATTTACATTTTCTATAAAAATGATATTATTTTAATTTATTTTTGTGCAACGCACGTCGTATATTGCTAGTATTAATAAAAGAGCCTTGTGCTTGAGATGATTAAGTTCCTCAGTTAGAAAAGCACAACCAACTCAGATCTTTCCGATCAAACAGTTGATATTTCTATCTAACCTTTTAATATTTTAACCACAATAAAATGTTAACTATTAACTTTTTAATCATGATAACTTATTTTAATTTTAATTTTTAATTTTTTAATCATAATAACTCATTTAAATTTTAATTTTTTAACCACAATAATTCAACTCATACATTGAAAAAAAAAAAAAAAGGGTGCTTTGTACGTATCAACTAGTACAAACTATACTCGGGCTTTTTAACAAAAGATGGTATACAACGAATGTTCCACAATTATGTTGAACTGTCTGACGATGGTGCCCCTCTTTCGGAACCAACAAGTGTGTGCTAAATAGCAAAACGACGTCAGTCAAGATTGATGGGCGTAATTTATTCACAAAAGATAATATTATGATTACTAAATTTTTTATTATATCTTCTTCGGAAATGATGTGGCATTGTTTTTCACCATCAGATGGGTGAGTTTCATTAATATTAAATAACGGAGATTATGTCATATCATTTGAGATGAAAAATTTAGTAAAAAAATTTGATAAACATATTATTTTCCAATTACAAAATAGTCAGTAAGGATCAAGCCAGCCATGGGACACCAACTACATAGTTCCTTACCTCTGAACGCTTTAAACGCTTGCAGGAGCCGATGTAAATTTGCGAGTAAATTATATGTATTGTTATTAAACTATGATGTTTGTATCAATTAAGTTTTTGTATATTTTTTTTGGGGGTTAATTGAGTTGCTGAACTCCCTAATTGTGTCAATTGAGTCTTTCATCTGCTTCTGTTTGAGTGTGTCACTCACGTGACTATATGATAAAAAGACAAAAGGTCTAATTGTCACAATTAAAGAGTTTAGAGACTCAATTGACAAAAAAAATAAATCAGGAACTTAATTGATACAAGGGTTATATGTATGGTTTGCTCCAACAATTTGTGTCAAGTGAGTGACACACTTCACCGCTTTTTGTTAGAAAATCTAACGGAGGCAGATACAATTAGAAAGTTTGGGGGCTCAATCGACACAAAAAAATTACAAGAACTTAAATGACACAAGTGTCATAGTTTGAAGGATATGCAATGACAAATCAAGTAGCATCGTCAACATTTATGCATAAACCACCGAGGGGGATAATTTAATAGGAAATCGGTTAAACTTCTCATTCTGATGTTGAAGGTTCAAGTTTTAGAGTCTATATTGGGACCTAGTGATTGACCGCTATGCTAACCTAACTTCGTTCCTCAGAAGAGTAACAGATGCAGTCAGGGGATTCATTATCCCACCAATGAGGGCTTATTAGGGTGGTCTCTAAATTCTCTCCTTTGTCCCCACCTTTTTTTGAACCATAAAAAAAAAAAAAAAAAAAAACTCGCACATAAAAGAATGATATCCTCCATAAAATTCGCAACATTTACAGATTTTCTGGCTCTATGTATCGTTAAGATCATTGTTTTGCTCGGTAAGAGGAAATCCGGTAACAGCATTGTAATGAGACCATTTACAATCAATTAAGTAGAGAACATTAGTGAAGAGCCATGCAACTGTGGCTACAAAGACAGACATTAACCTTTATCCCAAGCTGTGGACTGGTATTACATTATTTTTCCATACAAGTTTAAAAAATATACATATTACCTGAAGCTATTTGTGGCCAACTCTAATCTGCCTTGTGCAGATTATGAAGAATGTATAAGGAAGCAGAAGATAAGAAAATACATACAGAATAGCTTAAAAGATCCACACCAGTAGCTATCGTGACCATCTTGCTCCTTTCAAACATCTTTACTAGAAGGATCATAACAATTACATGTCCCACTTTCGTCTTTAATTCATCGAGCGAACTGATTTGCATCCATTTAGGCCTCTCCTGCAAAGCCAATAAGGACCAATCAATCAGTTCAGTATAGTACACGAGAAGAGAGAGAAGACAACGGACAACTTTGTCTGAATGATGGTTCATATATGCACACAGATTTGCTTGCTCTATAAGAAAGTAGAATGCTTTAAGAACTGGGATAAGACTTTCTGCTTTGATTTTCTTCCCAAAAGATATTGCATAAAACCCCCATTATTCTCGGCCCACCAGTTAGGGGTGCTAGTGGTCTATAAAGAGGTCAACAGCACTGAGCCGATACCACCTAGGGACCCAAGAATACTGGATTACCAAATTGAGTTGATTTCTCTTGCAGCGAGGAATAATAAGATCTTAAAGTTTAATACTGTATAATAAAAATGATTCTCCAATAATTCACATGAATAATAAGATTTTAAACTCGAACCCCATGGGACATAAATAATATCTGCAGTATCACTCTCTTTGTATCTTCTTTTTCCCACGGCCTTTTTCATTCTTTATTTTTTTCTCAGAGAGAAGAAAACACCTGGGGACAATGAGGATGGAGGATGGTGAAGGGGGAATCCGTACCTAGTTTTACATCTCAACAATAGTAAGTGAGACACTAGACTGCAGCGGGATAAATGATCGGCTGCCCCTAAGGATTTTACCTGGAAACTACAAGGTTAAGTGAAGAATAACTGAGGAGGTTTAGGAGTCTGCACAAAAAACTAGTCATAAATTTATTAGGACCACCTCAGGATCGTTTCCTTGTCTACCCATTGTTTTTTCATATGAAAGGCGGGAAGAGACACCCTAACGGCCTGAATCAATATTCACTATGCTCTATCAGAAGGATTCAGTAGAAGTCAGATGGAATAAAATCCCTTCCAAAACAAAACCAAACACAACCTTATCCCAATTATTTAGGGTTGGATCCAATCAATGAGTTCTATAAGTCCAACCACTAATCCTTCATCCCACAAACTCAAGTAACATGGCCTTGGGTAACTTGTTTATATTGTGGTTCGACCAATACGTAATATATTTGCATGTTTATTTCTTTATTGATAAAATGTCCTTTTCGTTAGAACTTCGGACTATAATTAAAGGTTCCGTCTGGCCCCAAAAGACAGATTAAATGAACAACTCAAACATTAAATATTTGTAAGGTCAAGCCAAATGGAGTATGTGAATATGAAAGTAAATAAACAGGAGATATGTAAGATGGTGTCACTGGGAATTATGATACATAAAACGGTGATATCCTCCCAAAAGGAAATGCAACCAGTTCAAAGAGAGCCACATACCTTCAAAGCGAACATCCCAAACAAGGAAGACCCCTTAAGGGCACGATCAACTGTGGGAGGTACATTTGGAGGCACATTACTGATAAATAATCCATATAAACCCATGCCAAATATTAACATGACAGTCCCAGCTAGATATACATCTGCATTAAGAGGAGATGTTATCAGCAATTGAAAGCTGCAATACTAAAGTAAGTGAAAAGTTCATAACCCATCTCACTGTCTAAGTGGCTGGCAAAAAGATTCTCCCACAAACAATATATATAGCACACACACGCATACATATATAAAAAAATACAAAAATAAGTGTGTCTGAATATGTGAGGGCTACATGGGGACAAAGGTAAGAAAAGATAAGAAGAGAATCAGTAATTATGGTTGTTCAATTGCTGTTGAAGAAGAGTAATATAAATGATCCTTTACTAATGTTGACTTTTAATTTTTTTTTTTTGATCATAATGTTGACTTTTAAATTAAAATAGTTCTTCTTAAATCAAATATTTTGAAGTGTTCTAAACTATCACACTTTAGATAATTAAGATTTCAATCATAATGTTGGCATCTTTATAGACCAGATACGTATCCAAGATCAAACATCGCAAGTCAACAAGGTCTCTTAAGGCACACAATGTTCTTAAAACGAAAAAAGACAAAAGAAAAGAGAGAGAAAGAAATAAAGAGAACAGAAAATCAAAACCAGGAGGATGAAGAGTAAAGTGGGTAATTTTGGTTGAAGAACCAGATACACCAACATAGTGGTGAGTCATTCTCATTGAACAGGCAATTCCCAATTCCCTCTAGTTATAATTCTGTCAAGGAGAATGCTCAAATCCTGGTCTCAAGAAACTTAGAATGAAATTTTCTTTCAGGAAAATTCTAAAGCTAGAGAAAGCCTAACTGATTTTTGGAACTCAAACCTATCCAATCACGTCATGGATTTAGTAGATTTGTTTCTTATAATTTAGCTGCCAAATAGTAGGGACAATGCTTTGTTGAGTTGAGTTGATTTGTACCAGTGAAGACTAAACATAAACAGCACGGAGAGGAAGAAGCAGGAAAGCAATCATACAAAAGAAGTTAAAGTATGAAATGGCTGATGGAGAAAAAGCACTTGAAAGGGCATTGTCATCATTAATTGCTACTGGGAGAAAGATTATAACAGGCAACAGGGCCCTGAGTACAAAATGTAATGGATTTCAGTAAAAACCCAATTTACTAAACTAGAGAAGCTAAAACTCTAACTACCGTGTGAACCTTATGATTGGGAAATGGCAAAACAAATTATAGTTTCTGCCAAGGGTAGGGAATGTTATTGACCAAAATTCTCAGAAACTCACCAATAGCTTCAACCAAACGTAGAACCATCTGTCCTGTGTGAATCCCTTTGACACAGCTCGTCCAGTAAATTTTGTATGCCTCAATAATGTAAACACAGCCCTACAACGATCCGAAGCAGTCAGTGAGATCAGATCCACTAGCATAAACACAGACCAAAACACAAATACAAGTCCACATTTAGAACTTCATAAAGTGACCACTCCAAAATGAAAAATATTATTTGTGTCTATACATTACTTGACAAACATAAACATTAAAAAACACAAGTTGGACAAGCTTACCATAGCACGAACATTAGGTAAACATAAACATGATCACCATGATTAGCAAGGGAAAATGGTGTATAATGAATTTTGTTCTGGAAACTTCGCATCAAGAATAACATACACAATCAAAACAAATTGGTTTCCAGAACTTACAAGAGTAGGAAGAAAAAATGGTTTACATGTGGCAACTTTCAGCCATATCTAGCTGGAATTTTGGCTACTTATTCACGTTGTCTACAATTTTCATTTTAATATATCTCGATGACAAGTGCTTATAATTTTTTAAATTTTTTATAGTTTTTATATTACACATATTTTAAATTCTTTAACTTAACTCAATATAGTATGAAGCGACAAAAGCACTCTAATATCAAGAAACCTAGAAGACAAAGAAATCTTAAGTACGAAACTCAATCAGTACATAATAGGGAAAAAGAAAATTATATAATTGCATGAATCTTAAAAAATTTATAAACAGCTAAGCTGATACTATATTGAGGGACAGATTTTCGACAATGCAACTTCCTCAGGCCTCAGTAAAGTATCCAATAATATGCTTATGGGCCACTTGCATGGTATTAGCAACCGCAGAACTTGTAACAATTAACCTCCACTAGTGTTTCCAACATCTGAAGACTTGCATTTTTTTTTCCTTACACATTCAATCCCATAGCTATAGAACAAACAGAAGGTTAATGTTTTGAAGGAGCACTGCCACAATGATGCAAATGTGAATGTTACACTTAACCCGTCAGTTATGACCCATAGTTGGAAGAACACCTCTCATTTCTCCTATCATCTAAAGACACCTAAGATTTTTATGACAATGGATACCATGTCCAGATATCAGGAGCCCATTGAATGGGCTATATGAGATTCTTTCATGAACTTTAACCATCATGAGCATCATATAACAAAATTCCATTACAGATACATTTATTCAAAAATTAATAGGACCAATCTCATTATCGAACACAAGAAAAACAGGCAATCTTCCTCGGTTATAACATTTAGAAAAAAAAAAAAGTAGGTGTAAGGAGAAAGTACATTTAGAAAGCAAAGCAAAGAACCAGCTAACGAGCCCCCAACAGCCAGCAGTGCCAGAAACCTAAAGTCGAATATGACCTGCTCAGCAATGAAGAAGCAACAATCATTATCACAAGATTAGACCAAACAGAAAAAGCATCTCCAAAATTTTGAAAATATTTACTATCACATTCAATTTATCTACCCTTCCTTTAATGAACATAGTTATGTGCTGGCAAAAATAGTCCGAACAACTTACCCGGAAAAAAAAGATTCTGAATGTTGGGTAATAATGCACAAAAAAAAATCACTAGGCACAATCATCATAGAAGAATTCTCATTAAACACAAATGAGGAACCAGAAACTAAGTTAGCATTGTTAGTCATTAATAATGTATGTGAAGCTCCAATGAGGCAACTCCATCGACAATTTTCACATTTAGTGAATTAAAGAGTAAGAACCCCGGTATCACATATAATCCAATTTCCAATTAAAAGAAAGAGTGATTGAGCCCAAGGTTGTCAAAACGTGTATCTGAAGGCGTATCATTTTTCAAAAACAGTGTATTACGTATCGTAATGTATAACATATCATAAGATATGTGCAGTTTTATAAAAAATATTAAAAAATATATATCACTATGACAAAATGTCATAAAAACATTTCATTGTACTACAAATGTCTCATATAAAACAATTTAAAGAGACTACAAGGACTAAAACAAAAAAAATTAACAATCTAATTATTGAAGTTTCTGGCATAATTCATCAATATCAAAATTTAGAGAGTTCTAGTTCTAATATTTAAAGTAGCCAAAGAGAACACTTTTTAACAATCAAAATATTTGCTCCTGTAATGGAACAAATAAAAAAAAAAAGTTTTATTTCTTAAAAACTGTAGATGGTGAAACAACATCGTTTTATTACCTAGTGTTTGAAAAAATTACTTCCAAGTGAAAAGACGTCTTTTTTTGGTTAAAATTCAAAGGAATTTTTTTTAATATGTTTCATCCTGTATCGGAAGACTCATACGTATCGTCTAGTATATTGGGTGTATCGTATTGTATATCGCATGAAACGATGCAAACCGATACACTTAAAGCAATGTGTCTCATTTTCTTCATATATCTCAATGTATTGTATTGCGTATCGTACGATATTAACAACTATGATTGAGCCCAATCTTGCAAGATAAGCTATCATTGTAGGATTTGAGATGGCAAATTGCTTCATCAAAGGCATCTACAAAATGAAGAATTGGCTTCTTTGCAATGTATTACTACTGATAAATGAGTGAACACATGCAACAAATGTGAAGAACTAGGTAACATTCTGTGGGGATGGTGTAATTGATCCCTTAGTAAACATTCTGAAAGAGAGCTCTATGAAATATAACTAAAGGATGTCGTCAGGGGCATGAGCTCCATCTATTACTGAAGGGAAAAAATGATTGTACTACTGTAATGTGACAAATGTACAAATCAACATTTTATACGGAGGCATTACACCGGTATGCAGATGCGTGGGAATTCAACTTGGGCCACCTTGTTGCTTGGAAGTTCAGCTTTTAGACAATTTTCTGCTGACATACCTTCATTTTTGGGTTCTCCTGCTATTGGGGTCAACATTAGGGGTGCCATTCCTACAGCATTCTTAGCTGTGAAATTATTCTTATTTTTTTATGCCTTCAATTTGGTTTCAGTGTTTGAAAAACTGTTTCTATTTTTCTTTCTTTTAGTATGTGGTTCTTTTGGTAGTTTCAGTTATTTTAAGTAAGCAAGTGGCATGGAACAGAAGAGTCTTAAGCCTAACCACGCCAAGTTTGGATTTGGGAATGCCAACTTCCAGTTCTACCAACCCTAGGCCAGATTCATCATAATTGGAATGACATGCCTATCTCCAAGAGAAAAAAAAAACCATTATCATAGAAATACCAACTAACTAGTGAACAAAAAGATTTAGACATGTCTGCATGGAGTTGGGGTGTCCAGCAACCCCCTCAAACACATCACCAAGTGACCAGGTCACAAACAATGTCAATTATCAACTACCCTAAATGCTTAAGCTGATAGAGATGAGGATTATATAAGTATTTATTTAATTGTCTCCCTCATCTGTGGCCCTTCTTGGGTAGTCTGTTCACATGGTTCTCTTCTATTTCTATATAAAGGCAGGCAGTGTAGGCTCTTCGGACTTTTAGGCCTTGATATCATGTTACTCATATTGTAGGCAAAATTCATGTAAACCTGAATCTACCAGCCTTGAACCTCATCCATGGGCGGTCAAGATTTCACACTTAAATCACCAAAGAACAAGAAACGTTTCGTTTAAGCCCTTAAAACTGAGAATTCAACCATGACTAATGAAAAATAAGAGGAAAAAAATCACAATTTGTAATAGAGTAATAAAGAGAGTTAAAACACAAAATCTAATTACCCTTTCAACGGTTGACTCCGTGGACCGAACAAAGCGAGCAACCGGGTTACCATTCGGGTTTGCAAGCGCGAAGTTGACATTCTTGTCCTGTGGTTTAGAGGATGATGCAACAAAGGAAGGGTTCGAGGATATAAATCCTTCAGTTGTGGATGGTGGTGGTGATTCATGAGATGACGATGCTGAGCTAATAGAAGCAAATGGAGAGGAAGAGGGTTTGCGAGTTCTTGGAAAGTGAGGGGTGGATATGCAGAGGGAGAGAGGGGTACCCGCGATTGAAGCAAACAGAAGCATCGGAGAGAGAGAGAGAGAGAGTTTTGGAAAGGAGTTGTGATCAAGTGAGAATTTGTGACTTTATGTGGGCCGCACATTTCTCAATCAGATTTTGGCGGGTAGCTGTTAAACCAACGGCTCTCTCTCTCTCTCTTATTTTTTTTTTTCCAAAAAAATAAACTTAAAAAATAAATTTAAAAATTAAATTTGATAATTATAATAATTGATTTCAGTTCCAATATTTATTGATTTCACTGTTGATACGGTGTTGCCCTTCAACATTACTCAGTTATATGTCAAATATTTTAGTATATCGGGGCCAAAATTAGTACAATAATACTACATTCATCAAATGTTTTATCAAATTTTCTATCCCAAACCAATAAGAACCATATGATCACAAGTTTTCGCTAATTATTCAATGACTATCAATCTGTCACATCATTTGGAATCTAGAATTTAGTAAAAGACTTGGTAGACATAGCATTTTTTAAATTATTATCCCGTGTTCTGACCGTTAAAGAGTAGGTTTAGTTCCACCGAACTTATAATAATTATAAAAACTCGAACTTAAATATTGAAGAACAAAAATTGAAGTTATTTCAAATGTGTGATGCAATTGTATCAAATATGCGCCTTTGCCTTTTAAATTATTAATTTTTTATATTACATATGAAATTATTGATTTGAATTTCGCATTATTCAAAATCATTAATTATCATCACAATTTTGAGCATAAATTAAGGCAAAATTGAAACTGAATAATGTTAAGAGGTGTAATAATTCTCTGCTTAGATGTACAAAATTTTATTTTTGTCTTGATTTATCATGAAAAAATTAGATAAAAATTAATGATTGGGGCAATATAAAACTCAAAATAATAATTAAAAGTGTAATATTAAAAAGGGAATCGTTTAAGAAATAATGTGCAATGAAGGAAATAGTGTAAACAGTGCAAGTGTAATTTACTGATGGAAAAATTTTATTTTGTCCCATAAAAGATACAATTTTTTTCAGCTTATCCTCCAAATAATTAATTTTTCGACATTCAAAAAATAAAAATGTTGTAATGTGATTCATTGTCTTATTTTTTTTAGGTCATCCGTTTGTTTTGTGTCAAATCAACTAATCAAGAATAAAAAAATAGACAAACGACCACACGAAAATAAGATAGTGGACTACATTTCAATATTTTTATTTTTTTTAAGGGGGTAATGTGACAAATTAATCATTAAGGGGACAAATTAAAATCTTTTATATCTTTCGAGGGGTAAAATGGGATTTACCCTTTACTAATTTACTCTTTGCCAAATACTGACCATGCCTATTGGAGGCAGCCTGCGTACGAGTAATATTTTTTTTTTTTTGATCAAGAAAAATGGTAAGAGAAGGACGACCACTAGATAGTGATTATTTTTGGGCATGACCACGAGGGTTTCTCCTTATGTAAAATGTTCAATTAGTCATAACTATAGACTTTTTTGGAGTAGCCCGTCACCACACCACCGATGTGTACGAGCAATTTATCTTTGCGCGTTTTGGCCATAAAAAATTGGAATTGTAATTGACGATTTTATCTTATTATTACACCAAAAAACGCATTGCCTCTATGGTTTGTATTGCAATGACAAAATATATTTTTTGGGTGTTCCATGAATTCAAGGGCATCATGTCGTGCTATACACAAATAAATTGGATTTAGACCCCTTCTAATACATTTTTTTTTTGTTTTGTGAATCTCATATCATGCAGCGAGACACTCACCTTTATACAATGGACCCACTTCAATTCATGCTTAATAATCTATTAAAGAAAAAAATATTGAAGATGATTTCATTACAAATAAATTTTCGATCAATGCACAAATCATCTGGCATGTAAGAGAACTGAGAAAAAGAACTATGGTGGCTTTTCGAGTGACCTAAACAATATTCATTATGATGACTAATCTCTATCGAACTGATGAAGTTTATGATTGAGAGCAGGCCAAGCGTAGGAGAATAATAAGATTATGCTCTTGAATCTAAAATTTTAATTTAGATGGTTCTCTGTTAGGTTTGCTTTTTTTTTTTTTTCTTTTTATATCCTCAATTTTATGGTTAAGGTGTCAAAGATAAAGAGTGTTAATCGAAATGAGTAACTCGAACTTAACTCGGATAAAACTTAATTCAATCTAGACTCGTGTTCTGAACAGACTGAGCTTAAACAGTGTTTTAAATTCATTTAAAAAAACAAGCCAAAAAAACTTGACTCAACCTCAACTCGTTTACATATAAAATAGTCGAACTATTCGGCCTCGACCCGGACTAAGACTCAACTCGAGTTCTAAACAAACCAAATTTGAACAATTTTTTAAACTCATTTAAAAAAATAAGCTCGCCAAACTTGGATTCAAGCTCACAAAACTCCACTCGATTCGATTACCACCCCCACAATTTTGACGGCCTGTGAAAACACATGAAACATGGACAATGTCAGTCCTCTTAACCGTTGCTTACCCACATAAGAAGAGACTGCACGCATTTCATTTTTATGGATTTTCCATCCCATACCTTTAGAGCATCTCAGGAATTGCAAACAGCCTTCAGGAAAAATAAAAACAAAAATCTTACTCAAAACAAAAATCTAAGAGTAATGGAAACATTCATGCTTGAACTCAAAACTAAGGGCCCAAAAAATCAACTAAAATTGACAAATTGCCTTTTTGAACACTGTAGTAGACACAGGATTGTTTCTAGCTACAACACAGAGAGGAATACCAGTTCAAAAAAGCCAATTAAGAGTAACATTGCCAAGCCAAATGAACAGTGGGAACTGAGCCAAAGCAATGAAGAGCAAGAGGTAATGATGCCTGCTCGAATCGTAAGTCCTCACCTCTGCAAAAAGAACTCTCTTCATCGTCTTCACCAGAAAAACTCCCATGCATAAACACGTCCATGGCATCAAGAAGTAGTACGAGTAGCTCAACATGATTTTCCCCAGAACAGCTATACATAATCCTGTGAACATATACCCGGCATATGCCACAATATCCAACAATGGTGCCTCCCCACTACCCAATGAAAACAATGACATCTTCAGCAGTGAAACTTGCAAAAACCAGCCTACCAAACCCTTGATGAACAGCCAGTTCAGAGCTTCTGGGCTAAACCTGGAAAGTAATGGAATGATGCAAAAACCTTACAATGTGATGGAAAGAAAGTATAATATCACACAAGAAAAAATTAAATTCCCCAGCACCACAGTAGAAGCAAAGCCATGGTAACTAAAAGAAAAGATATAAAGTGTTTGCAAAGAATTATTAGCTTTTCAAAGACCACAACACACAATTTTTACTTAGTTTCTCTAAAATATCCTTACTTTTTCACCTATATGACAATCGCACCCTTTTCTCCAAAATTATCAGCACTGTTGTGCATTGTGGGGCATTGGGCGTTGGGGAGGGAGGGAACACAGAAACCAAAAGATGCTATGCTACAGTAGGAACAAATGTGATGTTCTTCTTAACAATCATCGTAAAAAACTCACTGATAAGACAACAAAATTGGGACCTGGGGCTAGCATAGAAAGGAGAACTAAACAAAGCTCAATTTGTATGCAAGCAAAAAAATAAAAGGATAAAACCAATTTATATTCATGTCATTTCTAAGCACCGGTTCCAAAAATGAGACAAAAAAATTGTTAACGAATAGGCTCAAGCTGACACTTACTTTCCATTAAGGCCTAGAGAGAAGCCAGAAAGAACCACATAGGTGCCAAATGCCATGAATGGAATGTACAAGTCTGGCGCATTTATATCATAGATTGGCGGCTTATAGGAAAGCCTGCCTCCAACTGGCTCAGTGATCCTCGTCCAATGACCCTGGAGTAAAGAGAAGTTAGGAGAAAAAGTACCTATTGTACAAAACAATGCAACCAACTAAAAGGAAGTAAGACAAAAAGGAAAGGAAAGATGTACATAGCAAATTAGTGCTTACCCTGTGCAGGAATGGGAGAAGAACCACCTTCAATTTGTTTCTCACGTACTGATCATTAACTTGGAAATAGTATTGGGGATCAGAGAAATACCTACTTATCTGGTAAAATCAAAATGAATCATGAAAGAAAACAATCAAAAATTACATATGCAAATAGTAACTGGTTTTTTGCATCTCATACAATTTCAACGGATCACAGACCAGATCACCTCATCAATAGAACAGTCGAAGGATCGGATTTCAGTCTATGAATCCAATTAAAAAGTTCTGGCCAGCTTATCCGACAGATTTTATTTTCAAAGTAGACATCCAAATTCGTTACGAATTGGATACCTAACCCGAACAGAATAAATTTATTAAGTTGTAATTTAGTAAATCACATCCAACTTTCAATGAAATTTTATCAAATACTCACTTAATTCCATCATATATTTGTACAGATTTACATGCATAAATCCGACAATATTACAATCGGGTTGGATATTGGTAAATCCAAAATCTGAATCCGTAAAATAGGATAAAACGATTCGGATTTGGATTGGTAAAAAAATGTCAATCCATACTTGCCTAAAAGGATTCCAATTCAGGGATTTGAAATAAAATCTAATCCATTGACAAGCCTAATCATCAACAATATAATCCTGATATGGAATGGAACATATATGGATATGTAGTGACTTAGAATTTTGGACCATTGCAGACTACTAAGCCAATTTGACACCTTGCTTGCAAAATGCCATTTAGATTATGATGCTAGGTAGTTAAGTACCATGACAACACAACCTCTGTCAAGAAAATTGAGAAATACGTGTTTCAAACAGAAACTTGGTAATAGGAAAGTGATTTGCTTTAGAATATATTACCAAAAGAGTATTAATATGCTAGTAAACACCAATAACTTTCCTGACTACTCCGCTGCAAAGGACTTGATTTCCTTGCACCATTGATCAACAATCAAATAAACATTTATTCACCCCAAAAATGAAGATTTTTTTTTGAAGAAAAGGTTTTAACATGCCAATCAAGGAGATATTTTACCATTTAAATGGATTTATGGAGACACAATTCCATTCAGAGGTA